TTGAACTTGCTGAGTTTGGGCAGAGGTGACATCATGAAGCTACTTAAAGGGGAAAGAATATAATCATGCTATAGTGTAGAAAAAAATCAGCTAATAAATATTAATTTAATAAATTAATTTAATATGAATAAAAACTAGAGTGAAGGAAGTGCAAGAGAGAGGAGGGGCAGAGCCATGTTGCTCACTTGCCTCCTCTGTATGTAAAGCTGCAAGACAAGGGCTGCAGCCCACATGAGGCCCAGAAATGGTTCTTGAACTTGTTTCTGACAGAAAGAGCCTCAGAAAGCACATGGACACAGCTTCCCCCGTTCAGCTGTGCCATGTGTGTTACCAACAGCTCCGGGACCTCTGGGCTCCTCTAAAGATGTTGGAGTTCACGCCGAGAAAGGATTCTATCTTTCTCTCTCCCTTCCTTTCTTGCCTTCTCTGGCTTTCAAGGGAGGCTGGCTGAGTCACGATTCTAAATAGGTCACGGCTGTGGAACAAAAGGAGCCCTCCCGGTTCTGTTCAATCACCTCTCACACGTAAAAGCATTTACTCAGTGTGTTTAAGCTGTCTGCACAACACACAACACACATTTTCTCTTTGCCCAAGTTGATTTAATCCTGGCACTTCACAAAATGTGTGTATCCGTGAAAGTGGGAAGATTCTACTCGTGTGGAAGAGAAACCCCTGAAAGGGTGGAAAAAAAACCAGAGAAGCAGGGAAGCAGGCCCAGATCTGGCAGTGAAGATGCACAGCTGTGCAGGTTCGGTGCAAGATTTCAGGGGACAAGGCCCCCCGCCCCAATAAGTTTCTAATCAAATGCCAGAATTTGAAACTTGTCAAAATTTACCACCACCCCTCCTTGGCTGCCTTAACTGCTTAAATCATTCCTTTTTATTGCCTCTGACTAGGCCCTGAACAATAGTGGAAATGCCCACTGATGGATGACTCTGGCGATTTTGTGAGTTATCACATAAAATGAAATGCTGAACGACATTCCTTTCTCTGTGGGATTTATATTCACACTCCTCCTCACAGTCAGCAGCCACCCTCCAGCCCATCATAGCCATGCCAATCCCTCTGAGGACGACCACACCCACAAACCCCTGTTGCTGCTGTTGAGATAGTGTGGTGTGTTGATCGCTTTGTGTTTTCAAAGGTGTTAAAGTAGGAATAGACGGCTTAAGAAAACCGTGTGTTTACATAATTCTTCCCTACCTGCTTGCTTCCTTCTTTATTAGGAAAACTCAATGTGATGGGCTTTGCTCAGATCTCGGAATAGCAACAAAACCACACACTGGAGCCTCCAGAGTCCCTACAGAATTTTCGCCTACAGCCCCCGCAAATTTTTACTGGCTTTCTGGGAGGAAGTGAGCTAGGTGTGAGGAGATGACTAAGACAGTAATTGGCAAACATCTCAGATTCAGCAATCACGGTTATCAGATGGGAAGTGTTTGGGAGGCACAGAGAGTACTGAAAAAAATCCCCAAGGTTGCCCACTCAGAAAGTGAGAATTTTAGTAGACTGCTCAGAGCAAATCAAAAGCAGTAGACAGTAAGGAAAGGTCGGTTAGGGAAGAACTGCCGATCGTTCAAGATAGACGGAGACGATGTCTCATAAGGAAAGTGAGCTACAGAAAGTGAAAGAAATGAGCCCAAATGATTCATTTACCAGAGGTCTTTCTTTTTTGTCCTCCATCTCCTTCCTCACTCCCTCCTTCCCTCCCTTCCTTCCTTTTTTCCTCTGTCCCTCCCTCCCTTCCTCCCTTCCTTTCTTCCTTCCTTCCTTCCTTCCTTCCTCCCTCCCTCCCTTCCTTTCTTCCTTCCTTCCTTCCTCCCTCCCTCCCTCCCTTCCTTCCTTTCTTCCTCCCTCCCTCCCTTTCTTTCTCCCTTCCTCCCTCCCTTCCTTTCTTCCTTCCTCCCTTCCTCCCTCCCTCCCTTCCTTCCTTCCTTTCTCACTGTGTGATCCAGGCTGACCTTGAACTCATGCTCTTCGGGCTTTGTTTCCCAGGTGCTATGCTTAGGCATGCACCAACATACCTGGAACATAAGCCTTTCTGGATGGCCTTTTTCTGTCAGTCAGTGAGGAAGATGGGTTACCATTTGTCTCCTAGCCCTTGAGTCTAATCTTGGTGCATGAAAATGAAAGACTTGGTTCCCTTAGACACTAACAAACGCTTTCAAGGTTGGGACAATTACATCATCCATGCCTTGGGCCTTCATACTGTATCATCCCATTGTAGAGAGTGGAGAGACAAGAAAGAGGGATAAGAAAGGGGACCTACCTAGCTGTTATAACGATCTGCTACAAAGACAACTCACCCATTCCTGTAATGAAGGCAGTACTCTGCTCTTGGGGGCAGAACACATGGTTGGATCACCTTCTATCGGGCACCACCTCAATGTTTACTGGTGATTGATTTTCCAATGCAGGAATTCTGGAGAATACATTCAAAATACACTAGAGTCCAATGTGTGGTCGTAGATTGAAGAGACAAATTACAAAGGCCATTTTAGGGACAAATGGAAACATTTGAATATGTGATTAGCTTTATGTGATATTAAGAATTTATCATTTTTGTTAGATGTGAGATTTTGGTTATATAAAATGATGTTATGGTAAGTTTAATATTTTATAAAGTACACAAATGCATTTAAATTCTTTAAAGTTAAATACACATCAAAACTTAAGAAAAGTTCAGGGCTGGGGTAGTGCTTGGTGGAAGAGAGCTTGCTTACATAGTATATTTTGGGAAAAAAGGAAGGAAGGAGTGACGAGGGAAAAGCTTTAGGTTTTCTGTTTTCAAACACGATTTGAATACATTTACAAACCAAAGTAGCTATATAAAACGTGTTAGTAAATCTATCAGGCTGAGGCTAGAACACTTGCCTGGTATGCATGAGGTCCAGCATTCAATCTCAGCCTTGAAAAAAAGGGTTTTTTTTTTTAATGCATGTATTTTTAGAAATGTAAAGTACCTGGACATATGAGAAATACAGGCATACTAGCCAGGAAGACAGTGCAGGGTTCAAAGTGACGACTGCCTCTTAAAGCAACATGGAGAGAGGAGAGGTGAAGTGGGAGGTGGCATTTTTCTTTAAAGCCTTTCAAACTGAAAATATGGTGGAATGATTTTGACAATGTATCTCAGGATCAATATACATCCAAGTCCACTTCCTACCTACAGTCTTAGAATTTTGTGGTTAATCTTTTCAAAGATGACTTCTATTTTATATAGTTTATAAATAGAAAACAGAGGAGGAGAGGGAGAGCAGGAGAGGGAGGAAAGAGAGAGAAACAGACAGACAGACAATTCTTTTCAGGGATCCCTACTTATTTAGACAAGAATGCATATCAACATGTTTTAGAAAGAAATTTTTGTTTACATAATTGAACCTAAAAGGGATTGTGAACAAGGAAATTCAGTTAGCCACAGCATTCTCTAAGCATCCTGGTTAGCTAATAGGCTTGGTCAAGCCTCAATCAAACTGAAAATACATATCCAAGTTAAGTGCTATGGATCAAGGGCTAAGGCCATAGCAAGCCATGTTCAAAATGCTAAAGGGACTCTTGATAGTGTGAGGACATGATGGACAGAGCCTCACACATGATATTAGTGTGCAGTGGCATGGAGAGGATGTAAGGGCTTTGGGAGTAGACAATATAGCCTTTCATCTTGATCATAAAATTAATATTCCTTTTTTTTTCAAGACAGAGTTTCTCTGTGTAACAGTCCTGGCACTCACTTTGTAGACCAGGCTAGTCGCTGCCTCCCAAGTGAAAATTAATATTCTTAATAAATAGGTTTAATAAGAATGTCATACCTAAGAGGAAAGTACTACCAGAAAGACATTTCTACATGTTTGACATGGATTGTAAAATATAACTTTACCAGTGTTCTTGTATGGGAAGGTGACTTGTTAATGTTTTTATTCACTAAATCTCTTTTTATCAAATATAAATAAGAAATTTATGGTTTGATCTGATTAATCAAGGATGAATGAAAAATCAGGGGGCTGGCACATGTGGCCACACACATCAACACAAAAATAAATAAGTATAAAAGATTGAAAAGCATAAAATAAAACCCCATTACTTTCAAGGATTATTCTTCCCACTTTCAGTGATTGGAATGGCATATTATTATAGTCATAATTTGGTGGGCAGCATTAACATATTACTACTTATCCAATTAATTGGTTGATTTTAATTCATTGATAAGCTTAACAGTCCTTATTCTTTTAAAAAATAATTGTTGCTTCTGCATGCGGGCAATACAGTAGGATCTGGGAATGGAGCAGTAAACAAGACAAACACAATCCCTCACTACATGACGTTTAGAGCCTACTGGGTAAAGAAGCTATCTAACAAGAAATTGGGATGAAATGTAATTGTTTCTTAGGGGAAAGTAGATGAATACCTTGTGAGCACGTAGCAAGGGATCTGGCCATGTCAGTAAAAACACACAGCAGGCCCCTCAAAGCTCTTTCGTTTACCCACCCCACCCCACCCCCACTCCATTTCTTCAGGGTTGAAAATCCAAGGGTAAATACCCCAGGGATTTGGGTGGCTATCTGGGAATAGGGCTGTCACAGTTAAGTATATGATCATCTGCTGAGGTCCATTAATGATGTAGTTTATGTTGGCTGGCTTTCCTCCTGGTGAGCTTGGCTTCCCAAAGATGGGAGACAGAGGGACATGGCACTATTGAGATGTCATCATTTTATGGACAGTTGCTTCAAGCAGACAACAAGGTCTGACATGAGCCTGCTACTAACCTGAATAAAGACAATAAAATTGCAACACCGAGTAATTCCACAGGGAGGTTAAAATGAATATGGGATACTTAGGTTGCCTCTAATTGTTTGGACTTGTAGGATGGGGAAGATCTACTAAGCACATTATGAAATTCTGTCAGCAAAACTTGCATTTATCTTGTGACCCAAGCTTTTTTTTTTTTTTTTTTAATCATATTCTGAAATGTTGGTTTTTTTTGTCTTTTTATTTCCCTCCAGAATGTCCTCATTGTTGAGGTAAGCTGGCCTTTTCTTTTCAGTATTGGAAGTTATAAGAATCTAATAGTGAATTTTAAAATCCTTGCCTTGTTTATCAAATTGGCCAAGTATTGAGTCCCCACTGTGTGCGGCTCTTCAAATGTGTTTAACAGAAGCCAACTATAGCTACTAGATTCAAATAATTCAAAATCAACACTTTAATAATGACTATTTGATAGTTGGTCCTGTTTTATATCCAATCTCACATACATCTCCATCGGTTCTTTCGTGGATTTATGAGGCAGACAGTTGTAGGGAGAGTAAACTGGCTTGTAGAACCAGTCAATATGTTTACTGTTATTTATTTAACAGGAAAACCAAGGCTAGAATTCTCCTTACCTAATGACCTCTAATCCATTCTCGAGCCTCAAAACCCATAAATTCAATCAATTAACATGACAATCTAAGGAAAAGTTATGGGTTTTGGGGGTTGGTGGGTCTTTGGTTGTTTTGGTTTTGCTTTTCTGTTAAGAAAGAAACAGAAAGGCTGTCTTGTGACTGTGGCAGAACCCCACAGTAAACAGCCATGCTCCCTCAAAAGCACACCTGTCTTCTCGGCCACCAAAAATCCAGAGGCTCTTCTTGTGGTCAGGCTTTTGTTCCACATTTGTCAGTGTGTCCTTCTGTATGCACATTTTTGGCTCCACACAACTCAGGGAGTAGACCTTCCAGCCAAATGAGTCGCTGGACCCTGGCTAGACACAGACCTGTTGCGTTCCTCATCAGTGCCCGACAGCTGAGTTCCGTCAGGAGGACGGTAAATCGCAGCCGCCAGTTCTGTGCAATTGTGCGTCCACAGCTCATCAGCAGCGGAGACCCTGTGCACTCTGCAGCCCAGGAGCTCGGAACTCCTGGTTGTCACCAGCTGCTGCCCAGACACATTTAGCTTCCCAGCCACAGCATCCCCTAAGGAGCAGGGAGGCCAAGGAGGTGTTTATCCTTTCAGTGTATTCAGACGTACATCCCAGGTCCATGAAAATTCATGTGTCTCTTGTATTGTGAAATGTAACCTCCAGGCCAAATTTAGTTCCTGACTGTGCATACAAGAGTCCGGGTACACTCAATGAGGAAGGGCTCACATGCTTTCCCGAGGCTGAACTGAATCCTTCAACACAGCCAAAGGATGCAAAAACAGAATATTCACCAGCATAATCTCCAGCTTCCAAATGATATGCCCATGAACACATAACTGATTCTGCTTCCTATGTTGACTCCTGTTGGTTGGTATTTGAAATCAATGTGCATTGTATTAATAAGGAATAGCTCTGCAAATGTAAAGAGCATTATGTTGCCGAGCATTTGTATATGTGCAAATTGCTTTGTTGAACTTTCTGCTTTTTGCAAAGGACGTTGTTGGAACTGGGAGGACCATGAGAGCACTGCTCAGCAGCATCGAGAAATACAAACCCAACATGGTTAAGGTTGCCAGGTGAGTCAGACACCACAGTACAGTGCTCTGTTCTTCCAAACAAGACCAGAAGCATCCCCTCACAGAACACTGTCCTAAGCCATTGGCCCTGAGCCTGGGATGCTGTGGTTTGACCACCCTGACAAATAGCTCATCTGATAGCTAGCCTGAGAGAGAAAGGGGAGAGGAAGGCCCTTAACAGGAGCCCTTCTCCACATGATTCTGTGAGCAGCTGGGCGAATCCTCAGCAGTTGCTCAGCACGCTTCCTTTTATCTAGCACAGGGATGCCACGCTGCAGCCACAAAGGCAGGAGTTAGAGCAGGCTGCCATGATGCACCACAGGCTTGGGGGGAGGGTACACAGCTCAACGGTGTTTAATTCTCTATGCAATTCACATCCCAATTCATTGGAGTTGTTAAATGTTGGGTTGTTTGTTTGTTTGTTTGTTTTTTAATGGCAGTTTGTTGGTGAAGAGAACAGCCCGAAGTGACAGCTTCAGACCTGACTGTAAGTGGTTCAGGGTTTGGGGTGGTTTTCTTGTGTTGGTGTTTCATTTTGGCATTCCATGTGAGACTAATAGTCCTACAAATTCTTTGTCTCCACCACCTTGTGATGGAGGCTAGGGCTCCTTGAGGGTCCACATCTTTGTGTTTGCATCTTTCACAACAACTCCATTGTATGTATTGGGTTTTTTTTTTTTAAATTTTGTTTGTTTGTTGTATTTTTAAAAAACCTCACTGGTATGTAACTCAGTCTAGGCTACTGTACAACTCAGCTTTGTAGCCCAGGCTGGCCTTAAATAGGCACGTACCCTTCTGTTCCAGCTCCTGAGTCCTGGGATTACAGGTGTTCCCCTGGTGCGTTGGATGCTTCTACTGTTACACTGTATGCAGTTGTCCATTTTAGGGTGGAGATAGAACTACTCCCCTAAGACTAATTCAGACATTCAGGATCCCTGACTGGCAGCCATTTCCACCAATCCAAGAGGCACCCCAAAGCTTTAGAGGGATTATCCTACCTCCTTCCAGACCGTGCACATTCATTAATCTTCCTGCTACCTCCAACAAAAATTCAGGAACACACACAGAACGTGAGCAAGCAGAGCTCTCAGGGTGCTGTCTTCACACTTGACTCAGACATGTGCTCTGGGGACTTTCCTTGTCCCGGCTACCTTGCTGTCCTCCTCATAGTAAGATTGGCTCTGATACCATTGAATTATTTATTATTCTAAACAAGTGGTGACTTTTTTTTTTTTAACTTGCGTAAGGCAGACTTCAGCTAAAATTCTCTAACTTGCATTTGCTCTAAAGCCCCTAGGATAATTTGGCTCCAGTTCTCATTAGTAAGATGGAAAAAAACATTAGACAAAGTAGTAGTATGGAGGGGTCATGAGGCAGGGTCTCTTCATTCTAAACACGTATGTCCTTTGCAGGATTCCTAACTGCACACCAGGTCACCTCTGGGCAGATAACTAGAGTCCATGGCCTGTTCCTATTGATTACTGGCCCTGTATCTGGTCTGTATGTCAATATCATTATGTGGGGTTATTAAGCAGAAATTTTGTGAGGAAATTTCGTTAATTGAAAACACGGGGCTGGAGGGATGGCCCATCAGTTAAAAACATACTGCTCTTGCAGGGGATCCAGGTTCTACTCCAGCATTTATACAAGGCAACTCACAGCCATGTCACTCCATTTTCATGGGGATCGGGTATGTCTGGGCTCTACCACTGCGCGCACACACACACGAGAGAAAGAGAGAGAGAGAGAGAGAGAGAGAGAGAGAGAGAGAGAGAGAGAGAGAGAGAGAAGAAATAAAAATAAAATCTTAAAAACAAACAAAACAAAACAAAATGTATCCAGTTAAGGGCAGGCATGATGACTTGTGCTCATAATCCTAGCACTGAGGAGCCTGCAAGAGGATCATGAGTTCAAGGATATCCTGAGACCTCGTCTCGAGAAGATACAAGAAAGCAAAACCAAATTCAACTAGTTATGAATTTCTTGTGTCATTTTATAACAACAACATAAAATAAGAACAGCTAGGGTGGGGATGTGACTCCGTGCTGGAGCACTTGCCAAAAAGTGTCCTAGCTCCCCAGCACCACACACACCCACACACACACACACACACACACACACACACACACACACACACACTTTTAAACAATAGCCACTAGCACTGTCAGAAGCTCTGATGTGCCAGGCCAGGTTCTTACAGGCGTACAGGGGTTAGCTAATGTAGTCTTCACAACAGCTGCTATTGTTGTACCCATTTAACAGATGAAGAAATGGAATGTCACAAGCTTAAGTGGCTTAAATGCCAGGGTCATATAACCACATGAAGAGGGCTAGTCATGAGCCCAGGCAGTCTGCTTCAGGTCACAACATTCATACACACTGCAGCAGTGAGTGATGGGCTCCTCTGGCTCCTGACAGCCCCACCGACTCATTGATTTCATACTCCATAGCATCACAATATTCGACCAAAGCCACGGTTTGGGGCTTCAGTTTTCACAGTCTGGATTGCCACTCATGTTGTAGGGACTACATTGCTCACTGGAAAGCCCACTGCTGTTCAAGTAGAGTTCCCCAGAATCTAATTCTGTTGTGTTAGCTAGCTCAGAATCTGGTTCCCCTTTCTGGAGCGCATTCCGAGACAGCATTTTTTGACCGTTTTTGACTCTTTGTTATGTGCTCAAATGCTGAATGTCTTTTCCTCTGCCCTTGCTTCCCTTCTTTGAATTTGTTTCTCTTTGTTTAGACAGGGCCTGCCTGTGTAGCCTGGGTTGGTAATGAACTTAAAAGCCTGCTGGCTCAGCTTCCCAAGCACTGACATTACAGACATGCACCACTGTCCACAGCTCCTCTTGGATTATTCTTCCTAGAAAGAGCAAGCTCAAGGAATCAAACAGGCTACCTACTTAGTGACCCCATAATTCAGGACCCTAGAAAACTGATCCTTTATTTCTAGTACTTTCTGTAAACTGAAAGTATATCAGGTCATAGAGATAAAAATGATGGGCTGGGTGGTGGTGGCACATGCCCTTAATCCCAGCATTTGGGAGGCTGAGATGGCCAGTCTGAGCTGGAGGCCAGCCTGGTCTACAGAGGGAGTTCCAAGACAGCCAAGGTCTATACTGAGAAACAATGTCTCCAGAGAAAACAACAACAAAAACAAACAAACAAACCCTAAATTGTGGTGACCATGAAGATCACTGTCTGTGCTCCTAGTCCACAGGCTGGACCAAAGGGCAGTTTCATATAACTAGGCATCCATGTCTCTCTTCTATTGTACTATAATAAATGAACTGACAAGATTCCAACAGACTGAAGCAAGATTGAAAACCACTGGGCCACACTCATTTATCCTGCCTGAAGATCTCCGGGAAAGAACTGTTGTCAGTTTCTTTTCTTTTTAAAAATAATTTAACTTTATTTTATGTGCATTGGTGTGAAGGTGTCAGATCCCTTGGAACTGGAGTTACAGACAGTTGTGAGCTGCCATGTGGGTGCTGGGAATTGAACCGGGGTCCTGTGGAAGAGCAGCCAGCCAGTGCTCTTAACTGCTGAGCCAGCTCTCCAGCCCCCACCCCCTACTCCCATTGTCTGTTTCTTAATAAGCATCATCTTCCTCTCAACCCCCTTCTTTTGCGGAACCCAAGCACCTTGCGCTGCATTTGTATCCATTTCCTCTCAGTCCACTCCCTCTAGCGATAAAGAGCTAATTAGGATCCCGGCCGTGTAGATGCACAGATTGGCACAGAAAGAACCCTCAGCAGTCTCCCCTTCAAGCTGAACAAGCCCCTTTCCTTTCCCCTTGTCTCCCAGGTGTCTTGCTTTCCAGTCCTTCAGCCGGCTGAGTCCAGTGACACAATGGGAGAATTGCTTGCTGCAGCCGGTACACCTGGTTATGGATGGCAGTGCCATGATGCTTTCTGTTTGAATGGTCCTTTGAGCTTTTAAGAGCATCTCCTTAGGCATTATAGCATGACATACCACTCGCTGTGAACAAAGCCACATGGCTAACATACACACACTTCTCGTTGTCCACAGGGCCTCCTGAACACTTTCTCGACTCTGTACACTACAGACCCGTTCCTCACACACGCTTTCCTGTTTGCCTTGTGTCCCCAAGCTATCATTCTGGTCCAGGCACTCACTGGGCTTGTCCTACACACTACTTCTCACTTCTGCTCACCATGTAAGTGCCATAGCAGCATATGGCAATAGTATGCCTGCATGCTCTAAACTTTCTTCCTTGTCCCTTTCTGCTAAGATGCTGGATTTGAGATCCCAGATGTCTTTGTGGTGGGCTATGCCTTAGACTACAATGAGTACTTCCGAGACCTAAATGTAAGTGTTGCATACAAAACCCTAATCCTCTTTGCCTAACACCTCAATACTAGCATCAATTTAACAAACTACTAAAAACAGTAGTAAAATGTAGCTGTACTTTGTGATGGGAACACTTTGGGAGATACAGGGAATTCTTCCAATCCTTCCAGCACCCTTCAAGGTGGGTATCAGGATGATGAAAACATGTCATGCATATCTGTATTTTGTACTGAGAAGCGGGAAGCAGAACGATGGCCCTACACCGGTTTTCTCTATAGTCATTGACGATGCCCAGCCAGTCACCACAAGCAGCCAATATTCTGTACACTTCATGTCTGTGTCTGATAACTGACTGCTTGGGCTTACAGTGACATTGGAAGGAGTTGTGTCAGCACAGAGAAACAGACCTCCAGCATGGTACTCAATGGTGTGACCCCAGTTAACCCTAAGTGATCTGGAGGAGGGCATCTTACACAAAGAAACCAACCACTCACTACTATATATATTATATTTTATATATATATATACATATAATGTCTCACTATTAGAAATTAGAAAGCCAAATGCTTCCAAAACCGAGGGTTTGGGTATATAAGCTCTCTAGTAGCAATGCCTAGTGCATCCCTAATACAGCAGGCTGCAGCCTCTAGGACAGCCCCCTTTCCCATGCCTTCACTGCTCAGCCTTTTCACGATCCCAACCCACTTCTTGCTATCCAAAAGAGGCTCCACGGGTATAGATTGTGTTTCCCAGTATTTTTTTTTCTCTCTCTCTCTCTTTTCAATCAAGCTGTTGTCATTTCACCGACGGAAAACTGTCTCCACCAGGGACAACCAGACTGTGGCCTCAACATTTCTACCAGATCCTGACTAGAGCCCAGAGCTAAATCACCAGAGAACCTTTTGTCAAGCATTGAATGGGTCTCTAGACCAATATAAACACACACGGGTTTAGATGAACAGTAATTGATCACAAGCTGTCAGGCTGCTATTATCAAATCACACCTTGTCTGCCTCGTGTTCTGTATGCAACTGATGCTGACGGGGAAGGGTACCACAAAACGCACTTGTTGAAAATGTCATAAAGGCATCTAACACATTATTGGTGGATTTTTAAACTAAAAATAAAACCCTGACACCTTTCCACCCTCTCTCGTTTCAGCACATATGTGTGATCAATGAACATGGGAAAGGAAAATACCGAATATGACGAAGCAAAAGTCCTCTTTCTCAGATAACACGATTCTTCTGCTCAGGAAGCCAGAGTGTAAAGTCCGTCTCCGTAGTAGCTATCTTCACTCAGCCGGGTATAAAAGATTTTTTTAAAATGGGCTCTTTTTCCCCCCAACCCCCAGAGATTATAATGTAAACACCAAAGGTTCTTCAGGAAGAGAAGACTATGCCTGCCTTTGACTCATTCCAAATTAAACTTCTGACCCCCCAAATCCCTCCCACCTTCCTGCTCCTGAATACACCTTCTGCTTTGGTATGTCACTATGCTCAATGGCTCTTCCCAGGGATACTCCCACCCAAGGACTCAAATATTGTTCACTTAACTCCTTTAGTGCTGGACTTTTTATTATATAGAACATTTTACAGTAATCAGAACCTACAGTCCCTTAGCTTTAGCCCTGAGCCTGTATAGTAAGAACATAGCTAAGTTCCCTTGCTAATCCAGGAGCGAAAGGACAGCCTCACGTGAGCGTCTGTCTGTTTGCCCGCTCCTGACAGGCCGTTATTAACTGCTTTGACAAAGCCTTTCAGAAGTGCGGGTACAATGGACCTTAATGATGTTATGAAATGAGCCTTCACTGTGCGCTCTTGAGCTTCGCTTCCTGTGTGTGATGACAGCATGTCGTGTGTGCATGGATGTACTCAACTGTGTTTAATACTCTGCATTTTAATTAGGAAAAAACACAATGGCAGCACGGCCCGCCCTCCTGAGCGGAATCCTTTTATCCACGTGGGACGTGGGCAAATGGTGGGATTGAGAGGCAGAGGCTGTTTTCAAAAAAATCAGCACTAAGCAAGTGTAAATTTTTCCTCTTATTTGCATGGAAGAATAAGAGAGTTAAATATTGTCCTAAACATGAGCAGAGGTTGAATTATTTAGCTAAATGTCCTTACATGACTTCTCACACAATCCAGGGTGCCAGAGGAAGCATTCACACATACGGAAGTTTTTGTCCGTAACACCACACACACACACACACACACACACACACACACACACACACACACACACACACACCTATTAGCACCATCATATGTGACATTTCCTAATTTGTAGGGATTTTAATTAAAAATAAGCTCAAGAGTCCACAGTGCTAGGTATCTTGCCTCCTAAAAGGAGCAAATGCAAGATAAATAACTAAACAGCCTTTGTTTGATTCTGAACCGTCTGTGGCGTATTGCTATATTGTAGAGTCCTTTAAACTAATGATATAATAAAAAAGACATGTTTCACAACTGCTTACCCCTCATATACTTTTAGTCATTGAAATGTGTGTGAGCCAGTAGCCTAAATACATGACTGTGTGTACCTATCCCATGGTCAGCCTGGATTAAATCCAAAACATGCACTAAGATGAGTAAACATCAAGCCAGGAGCCATCTGCTGCTTTCCTGTTTTCCTCCCCAGACTTGCTTTGTAAGAACAAGGAATTTTACTTGTGAAGAAAGATTTCCCTGCATATCTCTGTCTCAGCCAGAGAAGAAAACAGACTATGACCAGATTCCCCAAAGGCGGAAGTCACAAAGGGAGTCACTTCTGGCTTTGTTCCATACCCAAGTTACTGATTAATAATTGTGTAGGACTGCATTCATAAAACTTACATTTTATAGACACTTTCCCACTATGCCATATTTCTACCCAAAGGCCTAGAAAAATAGACACGCACTTGGTTTTGAATAGAAATTTATCCATGAAGTATGCAGCTTAGAAATGTTTTCTTAAAAATCTTGCATTTTAAGAAAACATTATTATCATTTGTGGGGATTGTGTTTGTTCAGATTAGAAAGAAAATTGATCTATCTCAAAATTGTGATGGCTTATATATTTATGCATCAAAAAGAAAAAAAACAGTAAATACATTTCTGCATTTTTTTTGTATCAGACTATTTTGACGCTGATATGAAAGACTGTCATCTTGGGGAAAACATCATTTCTTTTTCTCTTGCAAAACTCTGACTGGGGTTTGATACCGCTGAGCTTACTCACATCACTCCAAAAACATAAAATCCAATTAAAACATAAAATCCAATTAGCAACAAATCCGTGTGTTTATTTAGCATTTGTGAGGGACTAGCTTGGTTACTTTTCTGTTGTGAAACCATGGCAAGAGCAACTTAAGGGAGAAAAGATTGTAGTTCCCCATTCCAGGCTGCAGTCCGACCTGGCCGGGAAATCAGTTGTAGCGGCAGGAGCTGGAAGGAGTTGTCACACAGCATGCATCCATACTCAAGAAACAGAAAGAGGAATGCATGAAAGTGCTCAGCTCACTTGTATCATTTTATACAGTCCAAGATCCCCTGGTCAGAAAATGACCCCACCCACAATTAAGATGAGTGTCCCACATCACTTAATGTAATCAAGATAATACCCCGCAGGCATGCCCTGAGGCCCATCTCTAAGATGATTCTAGATTCTGTCAAGGTGACAACTACCACAGACTTGGAGTAGGGCTGCAAATGTGTCTCCGTAGTGGGACCCTTTCCTGCCACACACAGCCCCAACACCACAAAAGCAAAAAAGAGTGGGTAGAGAAGCATATGTGTTATATTAGAAATTTTAGACTCTTTAAACAATAAAATTAGTAATACCTTGGGGTTTTCCAAACAAATTAAAATGCCTAGTTAAAAGCTGGCTGGAATTTATTAGAGTTTCAGTTTCGTACTCAAGTGTGAAGTGCAGATAGAGGGTCTCCCTGTGTTCTTTGGCTGTCTCTGATGGGTTGCCATGTTTCTGGTATTTTAAAACAGTGAAAACAACCTGTCAGAGCAGCTCAGCTCCTGTGGTAGACACTTACGTCTTCCCAATGAGAGCGTCCCAGGCATCAGGGAGCTACTCCCTCCCGTTGGAATAGAAATAATGCATTCTAAAAACCCTTAGCTACACTCTCCGCCCAACTGTCTAATTTGGAAAATTCAACATTTGAGAATTTTACTTAATTTGCTATTCATGAAATCCCTTTGGATCCCAAGATGGGAGGACCAGCTGGTTCCAGGAGGGAAGGAGAGGATTGCGGAAGGGGTAACCGTGACCTCGTGCAGAAGTACGAAAGGATGAGAAAAGGAAGCTCTTGAGGGAGCCTGCACGTTCACCTGGCGGCAGTCAGACTTCAGGGTTGCATCCGAACCCTGAGTAGAGAAGGTACTCTCCTCTTTTACACAGCACGACAGCACCTGTGGGCATGACAAGCAGTTACACATCAGGACCCGATGGGGTGTGCAGTGTGGGGAGAGGCAGGAACTGTGGAAAGACAGTCCACACCAGTCACAAAAGCCATGCTCCGGAGGCTTCATGCACTCCAGACACCACGCCCAGAGGATCACGGGACAGGACTGTTGATGGACATGTGGAGGAAGCTCGGAGCAGACAGGAAGGAGCACTGCTGAGGTGCAGGCTGTCTGCGCTGCCTGAGACTGCTGAGGACACTGGGCTGGTCGGACTCCACGCTCACCCAGCCAGAATCCTTGCTAATGGTTGCGGTGGCCCCAGAAGTGGTTGTTTTTACCGAAAAGGCGTCTTTTTCTTACCTATTCAAAGTTGGGTTGGTTGGGTTGTTCTTGATGTATGCGGTTTCCCAGCTGGAAGTGGATGGCTTTTCCCACCAGAGCAGACTTCCCTCAGAAATGAAAGGCAAACGTGAAGACATGTAGACATGAAAAGTTGGGGCAGAATTCTACATTTTCAAAGCGGGGGAAGTAAGCCTGAACTCACATCACCATGGCTTCATTTGGGCATGGGGGCGTCCGTCGAGACAGGGTTTCTCTGTGTATCCCTGGAACTCACTACGTAGACCAGGCTGGCCTTGAACTCAGAGATCCGCCTACCTCTGTCTCCCAAATATTGGGATCTACCGCATGGCTCCACGGCCTCACTTTTTAAGGAGAGCCTGGTGAGTGTTGAGTAGACTTCACTGTAAGTGAAGAAGGTTGAGTGCAGTAGGTTCACTTGAGAAACCTGGGTCAGAAGAGACAGATGGTGGCGATTTTCAATAGACAGGGCGTGGGGTTGTGATGTACCACAGTGGTGCTTAACCCCAATAAAGAAAAAAAAAATTAGAAAGGACAGGGAAGACGCTTGTGCTTTTTTGTTGTTTGCTTGTTTGTTTGTTTGCCACAGAGAGTAACACAATCCAGAGAGAGGGAATCAGTTGTTTATTGCTTTGTATGGTGGCTAGTTTTATGTCAATGAGCTGAGAGGTAAGAACCTCAATTGAGAAAATGCCTCCACAAGATCCAGCTGTAGGGCATTTTCTTATTTAGTGATTGATGGGAGGACCCAGACCACGGTGGGTGGGCGGTGCCATCCCTGGGCTGTGGTCCTGGGTTCTACAAGAAAGTGGGCTGAGCAAGCCAGTCAGTAGCCCTCCTCCACGGTCTCTGTATCAGTTCCTGCCTCCAGGTTCCTGCCCTGTTTGAGTTCCTGTCCTGACTTCCTTCAATGATGGACAGTGATGTAGACGCTTAAGCCAAATAAACTCTTTCCTCCCCAACTTGTTTTTGGTCATGGTGTTTCATCATAGCAGTAGAACCCTTACTAGGATGCTTTGTAACAAAACTTCCCCAGGCTGAGGAGCTTAAACCAACAATAGGTATTTATTTGGCATATCTTGTGTCTGGGAGGGGCATGGTCTGGGTACCTCTGTTCCATGAGGTCTGACGATTCAGATAGAAGACCTAAATTTTGAGAGCTTCAACACTAAACTGCCCAGTAAGGCAACCATTAACTGCTCAAGATTAAGTTAACACTAAATAAAAGCAGGGATGCACATCCTCGTTCAGGCTAGCTATACCACCATTGCTCAGTAATCTGATATGGCATGTGATACCACAATGGGCAGGGCAGACATGGGACATTTCCCTTCTCATAGAAAGTCACATAAACACCCTGACCTGAACGTTTATGTGTCACTGTTGGCTCTCAGCTGGAACCTTAGCTGAGAGTATCTCCCGTGTGCCTTTCTCTAAGGCCCAGGCTTCCTCAAAACATGGCAGCTGTGTTATAAAGGTAAGGGGTGGGCCTACATTGGATTTTATATGGCAGATTCACTTCTACCACATTCTTCTTTTTTTTTTTTTTTTTAAGTTTGGAGTTACAAAAGAAGGAAGAAGACTACCACAACCTGATAGAAGAATAGTAACATATTATAAGATCAAATGGATGAGTATGTTGCTGTGACTACTTTTAGAAAGTCAGCCCCCTCAGGAAAGTTATATGCCATGGTGGTTTGAATAGATATGGACTCCATAGACTCATGTGTTTGAATGCTTGGTTCATAGGAAGTGGCACTGTTAGGAGGTGTGGCCTTGTTGGAGTAGGTATGTCACTGGGGGCAGGTTTTGAGATCTCATATGCTCAAGCCAGGGCTAGTGTTTTACGGTCTCTTTCTGTTATCTGCCGATCAAGATGTAGAACTCTGAGCTTCTTCTCCAGCACCATGTCTGCCTGCAGGCTGCCATGTTCTCTCCATGATGATAATGAACTAAATCTCTGAAACTGTAAGCCAGCCCCAATTAAATGTTTTCCTTTACAAGAGTTGCCGAGGTCAGCAGGGCAATGGTGGTGCACGCCTTTAATCCAAGTACTCATGAGGCAGAGGCAGGCAGATCTTTGTGAGTTTGAGGCCAGCCTGGTCTACAGAGTGAGTTTCAGGACAGCCAAGACTACACAGAGAAACCTGTCTCTGGGTGGGGGTGTGGGGGGGTTGCCATGGTTATGGTGTCTTTTCATAACAATAGAAACCCTAACTAAGACATATATCCTGTGCATTTCCTATAATAAGATCAATGAAGAAGCTTATTATTCAGTGGTTAAAATGTGTGGGCAAAAACATATCTACTTATGTGTGTTCTTTGTGTGTGTGTGTATATGTGTGTATATGTGTGTGTGTGTGTGTGTGTATAAAATGTGCATGTGTGCATGAATTTGTATGTGAATGCAGGCATATGTGTGTGGGGATCAGAGGACAACTTTGGATATCAGTCCTCACCTCCCACCTTGTTTTAAAGCAGGATCCTTTGTTGTTTTCCACTGTGGATGCCAGGCTAGCCTGTCCACATGCTTCTAGGGTTTCTCCTGTCTCCATTTCCAATCTCCTACTAAGACAGCCAAAATCGTGGATGTTTGTGTTATGTGTACAGCTGTTGTGTGATTCTGGGGATTCTAACTGAGGTCTTCACCCACTGAGCCATCTCCCAGCCATGTTTATATGTATGCATTTGTTTCTCTTTGTTCTTGAGGGTGGATGTGCTATGGGCAGCTATCTCCATCTTTTGCCTCTGTGACTTCCCTGCAGTGATGGACTATGGCCTGGAATTGTGAGCTAAAATAAACCCATTCCTCCCCTAAGTTTCGTTTTGTCAGGGTATTTTATCACAGCAACAGAAATGAAACAAGTGTGTGTGTGTGTGTGTGTGTGTGTGTGTGTGTGTGTGTGTGTGTGAGAGAGAGAGAGAGAGAGAGAGAGAGAGAGAGAGAGAGAGAGAGAGATTGTCTTAGTTAGGGTTACTATTGCTGCGATGGAACACCATGACCCAAAGCAACTTGGGGAAGAAAGGGTTTACTTCACTCACAGTTCCATGTAACAGTCCATTATCAAAGGCAGTGAGGGCAGAAATTCACACAGGGCAGGAACCTGGAGGCAGGAGCTGATGCAGAGGCCATGGAGGAGTGCTACTTACTGACTTGCTCCACATGGCTTGCTCAGCCTGCTTTCTTATAGAACCCAGGACCACTAGCCCAGGGATGGTATTACTCACAATGGTCTGGGCCCTCCCCCATCAATCACTAATTAAGAAAACGCCCTACAGGCCTGCCTACATCCCAATCTTATGGAGGCAATTTCTTAATTAAGGTTACCTCCTCTCAAATGACTTTAGCTTTCATCAAGATAATAAAACTATCCAGCACAGTGATTGCATATAAAAATATGTAGATATGAGATTTGCATGAACAATGGGAACTAAATTCAAAAGCAAAATTCAAGGGCTTCTACCTCAGTGAAATTTCTAGGAGTGTGGGGCATGCAGAGATTTTTCCTTCTAAGTTATTTCATCTGCCCCTCCCACGACCAGGAAGGAAGCACAATGGTTAGCGGGCCTATTTAGATCCCATAAGCAGCATATTCTCTTCTGGGTGTGTTACTCCAGCCCATGTGCCAAATGGCTCAGAAAGCTACTAGTTTTAAGTGGGACCTGGAATAGAAGGCTCTAGAACAGGCCCAGGCTGCTGTGCAGGCTGCTCTACTCCTTGGTCCATACCTTCCAGCAGACCCGATGGTACTTGAGGCATCTATGGTAGATAAGGATGCAGTTTGGAACCATTGGCAGGGCCCTAAAGTTGAGTCACAGAGGTGGCCTTTGGAATTTTGGATCAAGGATCTACTGTCATATACAGACAACTATTCTTCCTTTCAAAGGTAGCCTTAGTGGAAACTAAACATTTCACAACGAGCCGCTAAGTTACCATGCGACCTGAGCTGCCCATCATGAGCCAGGTGTTATCTAACTCACAAAGTTATAAGGTTGGATGTGACGGCAGCAATCCATCATCAAATGGAAGTGGTATAAAACGATTGGGCTTATAATCTTATTCTTGGAAACAGTAACCACCAAACCAGCTAAAAGACATTTTTAAAACAACAGGCTACTGAGTACTGATCAGCATGGTTCCACAATGGAAGTTCTTTGGTGCTACCTAATCTAACATCAACGGATGGTTACATGGAAAAACAGAAACAAACAAAACCCCAGACCTTCCTTATTTTAACAAGGAAGTTGGTTCTGCCACGTGAATAATATCCAACAATAGCCCAGAAAATGGTTTGTCCCACACAACTTCAGGATGTCTGTGCAAGTTCTTAGGTGTCCTCAGAGGACTCTGTCACAGGTGTAACACAGCAGGTTGTAGAAGAACCATGCCTCAGGCTCACCATGGAGGCTCACAACCATTTGCAACTCCAGTTCCAGGGGATCCAAAGCCCTCTTCTGACATCTGTGTGAAGTAGGCATGTGTGCGGTACACAGATATGTATGCAGGCAAAACACTCATACACAAAATAAATCTAAAATATCTTAAGCTGTTAGAGAAAATAAGCTAGACAGTGTCATCCCAAATCAGTTTGCTCAGAAGCATATTGTATGGTACACGCCCTGAACTGTCGTTCCATCCACATCGTAGAATCCCCTTTTTGCCCTCAAGTTACCTTAAAGACTAGACTTGACATGTGACAACTTGCACAGGGCCAGGTGACAGCTCCCATGGCAGCCACGTGTTAAATGTTAGTAAGTCTTTATGTCTGGTTTTTAAATTTAGAAAAAGAAACAAATTTCATATTTCATTCCTACCCACGCAGTATATGCATCCATCTTGAGACAGAAATAACATTGAAATCTCCCACAACCATGCTAAAAAGCTTTGACAAATACTTGTTGATTGAATAATATGGGGTAATAAGGGTGGTTTGTTCTCTTGACCTAAGAACAAACTTGACTTTCTATCATATCATCAGTACCATGGCAACAACAGATTTTAAAACTACAGAGGAAGCCGGGCAGGGTAGCATAGATAAGATGATCCCAAGTCCAGGGCCTACCTGGGCAACTTAATAAGACCCTTTCTCAAATGAGAATTATAAAGCTATAGCTCAGCACTGGGATAATATGTGAGAAGTCCTATGGTCAGTTCCCAGTATCATAAATAATAAGTAAGAAGACAGAGAAGGACAGAAAACGGTGAGGGGAAGTAAAAGCTCTGTAAAGAGGAATAAAGAAACCCCAAGGAGATCTTAGGGATGGTAGAACTTTGGGGTATCAGGTTATGTTCCAGGGGAAAGGCTGACTCTTGAGAGTCAAGCAGAAAGAGTCTTGATTGCCACTGGAAAGAAAGATATGGTAACCTGGATTTATTCTGATATAAGGAGGACATTCATCTCCATTCTCTGTCCTGTAAGATACTAAAAGATAAGACCTAGGGCTACAATCACAGCTCAGTGTCAGAGTGCTTGTCTACTACATACAAGGGCCTGGCTTCTAGCCTCAGCACATGTGTGTCACACACACACACACACACACACACACACACACACACACACACACACACGCTTTTCTGAAAGGAGCCCTGGGGAACAGCATGATGCATGAGGTGGGCGTTGTAGAAGTGATGGCCAGAGGAAGCCTGCTCCTTTAAGACATCAGGTCATACATCCCTGCAGCTCTGTCTGTAATGGAACGTTGAGACACAGTCTGTGCTGTGACTCCATAGCTCTTAATTTATCCTACCTGGCCCTTTTTCTTGCTCTTGGTAGCATATGCTATATTGAACTAAACAATGAGATATGAAACCTCCTATCAGCTCAACAAAATCTTATAAAAGTCTGATATTTGCTCAAGGGGTTTCTCCGAAGACCCCTTGACCCTGTCTCTGAAGAGCCTCCTCAGGCTCTACCCCCTCCCTCTCATGGAAAGCTCTGTCTCTTTCTTCTCGCTCTAAATG